CAAAAATACGGACTGTTTTGCAGTCTATGAAATTCTGTTAGTTTTATAAATGGACAACGGTGAAACTTTGCGTAACGCCATTGCCTGGTACGTAACCTAAATTCTACTTCAAAGTATTAGCGTGCTGATGTTTTGATTCACAGTCGTTTTGAAGCAAAGAGTTGACGTGAAGGCGCGCCCTATTTTTAAGGATGAAAAATAGAATGCAGTCTTAAAAAATGGTTCATTCCCCAGACGGTGAAATTTGCCAAGTGAACTACTCCCGTTGCCTAGTACTTGACCTGAAATATGCGTTTTTCTCCTGGCCTTTTTGGCTACTAACTTGCGCCCATTTCGGTATGGTTTGAAAGATATCTTTCCCCAGTACACCAGAGGCGATGACGTCACATCTGGTACAAGGGTTGTGTTCCTCACTGGCGTTTACAGGCCGATCAGGTGTGAATGTGGTAATAATGGTCCCAAGTATCATTCCAATGCGCTTAGTGGTTCCCGTTGCTTTATAAATTAAAAGGAAACGGGAAAAGGCTGATAACAGAACAATTTGACAAAGTTAATACATTTCTTTTGTGTCTAGATGTGATATACTGCTTTTAACTTTGAATGAAGAAGTGATCGTCGCAGTGAACGCAATTTATGCAATTGCGTAAAAAAGCCTGAAAAAAAAAAAATTCAGAACTTCAATTCTTCCTGAATTTTTTTTTTCAGGCTTCTTTACGCAATTGCATAAATTGCGTTCACTGCGACGATTATTTCTTCATCCATTTCATTTTCGCAGTTTATTTATGATTTATTTCATATATCATTAACACTTTTAACTTTGTTAAGACGTTTATTACACTTGTGACCAAATGTTCCTACGCTTGTGACTTTTATTACATTTGTGACCAGGTATTACATTTGTGCCTTCAACATCCCTCCCTTCCCTCCCCCCTCATTATTCTGGCGCTTCGATGATATATTTGCTTTGAAACGAGGTTGATCGATGGTATATTTCCGCAAACTTGGCTGCTTGCGTTATAGTGAAAACGGTTCATGGTTATCCAAAGCCGATATAGCTAAATTCCTGACTAAAACTGAACGGAAGAAATGCAGGATTGCGCTAAAAGAAATTGCTCGATGGATTTGCGGTTCGTTTTAATTAAATGAACATGACAATAAAAGTAAGTAATAAAGTAAGTTAATCTAAAGTTCCGGCTTCTATATTAGCACTTAACTAAACACAATATTTGTTTTTAATTTCATTGCAAATTACTTTGAGGCTTACACACCTATTTCCCTTTTCCATCTTTCCTTAGCTTTTAGCATAACGGCTACGTACGTACATGACGCTCTTTCTTCTCAGTGGCCATTGACCAAGGCCATTCAACTCTGTTTCATTTCTGAATTTCATTAGGGAGATTGAATACTCACAACCAATCTACAGACCAGTCCACAGAGAACCAGTGTTTGGCCTAACTCAGCACTGGCTCCGTCCGATGCTGAGACTGAAGATTAATCCCAATCAGCTTTCTGCTCAGAAACGAACCTCTGCCTTTCCTTCTCATATACCAAGAAACGTCACGGAAATCGTGAGTTAAAACTATGCACACGTGCGTTAATAACTTCACCATATAAGTGTGTTGGCATCTTCCTGGGCTACAAAACTAAGGAAGACTGGTGAACACTTTAGAAGCATTTTTCCGTTTGAAATGTTAACGTTTCATTACTTAGTACATGTACGCTGAAGCAAAGTACAGTAAAAGTGTAAATAGAGTTATTAAAACCTTAAGCACCGACAACGCCGAGAGACGGCAAATAGAACGCGGTACCCAAGAATTCAACTCAGAAAGATTAATCTCCATTTGCAATTTAAAAGCGGCGGGTTGAAACGAATTGCGAAAAAGTTTGAAAAACGCGAAGTCAACTGTTAAAGTCACGTTTTTGCTGCCGTCGCCTTCGTCCTTGCTAAGCTCCCGGCTCAGCTGAAAGATAACTGAGGAAAATTTGTTTATGATTTTGGCCGTCAACATAACGTGTTTTTCATGTTTATGTTATCTTGATGTATAAAAACTGATTATTTTCCTGTCACCGATGTTGTTTTCTCTTTACTTACCAGGTGAATGAAAGCCATGTTCCTCTTCGCCTTGAGTATGTAAATTGCTCTTGGGTGGAATATGACGTAGGTGATATGTTGCAAATAACGTTTGGAATTTATGGTTCTCACACATTGCCGCTGTGCACCTAATTCATCTCGCGTTATGCAAATGTAGTAGGGCAGTTCGTGATGTTATAGATGAAGCAGTGTAGCAGAAATCTTGTCCGTCCCGTTGTAAATAAAGCTAGTCGTATTCAGCACGTCTCAATCAAGAACCCCTTGGGGGCCTAATCGCACTATTGCAAAGGTAGAGGGAACGCTTGTCGAAAAAATGGAATTAATCCCCTTAGCGCGATAAATTACAGGGGCTCCAGAACCGTGCGGAACGCGTTCTCACAAACTCCAGTTATGATGCAGAGGCACGTGACTTTGGGTGGCAAAACCTTGAAACTCAGCTGCTAATTCATAAGGCTGTGATGGTGTGTAAATCATTGAATTGCCTTGCACCTGGTAACCTGTCTTCAAAATTTATATTACGCAGGGATATACTTAATTTTATACAACCTTAGATATTCTGAAAATAGGCTTGCTGTTCCCTTGCCACGAACCAAATACCACAGATATAGCTTCTGCTACAGCGGGGCTGTTTTGTGGAACAATTTGCCCTCTGATGTAAGACAAGCAAAATCTTTGACTATAGCTTTCTCAAACTGTCGAACCTCTACTTGCAGCTCGAACACGGAATTCATGGAAAACAGGCAATAATTTAATTAATAAATTGATTTTATTTATTTAATTATTCCAACAATCATTATTGTAAGTGCTATTAGTGTTAATTCAATAGTTTGTAATATTTTGGGATTTCAAAGTATATATGTACTTAAATATTTTTGTTTATTAAATAACTAAGATAGTACGCGCGCTTTGATTGGCCGAGAGGAGTGTTTGCACATGGTTGTGACGTCAAGATGTTTTGCTTTTCGCGCGCTAATCACGAGAGCACAAATTTGAAAAAGTTTTTGAGTTCAAAACTTGACAAGTTTACCTTATTTACCCATTCCTTCGTCGTCTGAAACTTGGAAAATCTTTACAAACAAGCGGTGTCAATTTTGTTTTCGCTTAAGCTGACATTTTAAGCGAGAAAAATACGTATTTTGGAAAGTATCTTTTTGCAAAACAAGAACTGATTACTCGTGCAAGCCTTCGTGTACACGACTTTGCGACTGGTAAGAATTTCTCTTTTAATCAGTGCCATAACAAAGAGTTTTGCGTTTTTCTCGGGAAAGTTATTTTATAAAAGCAAACCCGAGACGAACTCGAGGGTTTGCATAACTGTCGAGAATTCTCCCAGCCCCTAGAGTGCTTATATCAGGCTATGCAAACACAGGACAAAAGTTTTCTATTGCTTAAATATTAGCCTGATGTTTTACAGTGTATAAATAAAAGTGATGATGATGATGAGATAGATCTAGGCCTAGCTCAGGCTTTCTTCAACCCCTAAAATATACCTTTCCCAAAAGACGACCAAGCAAGAGTTCAGTAATTAATTTAAATCACGATGAAGACGCCACTGACTGATGTCTTTTTCTCCTACTTTTTTTTGTCTTCTGCTTTCCTTATTTCTTCAAGAGGAGCCCTTTAGTGATACCTGTTTGGGTAAAATTCTGAGTGGAGTTCCTTGAACACCCTAACTGATAACTAAATCTGCAAGTTAAGTTTCAGCACTGAACGCAATTAGTCGCTATGTGCTTGATTGACATAATAATGGCTCGGGTGATATGGCTTTGCGCATGAGCAAAATAGTCATTTTATCGCGGAGTTATTTAGTCCTAGCAAATCGCTGCTCAACGCAAATAATTGCGTTAATGTTTTATGATTCTACTGAAGACCACACACGTTATTTTTCGCTTTAGGAAAATGGAAATTTGCAGATAACAAGTAAAGAAATAATGGACGAGGAAAAGCATAAAAAAGCCTTAATCAGAGGTTACTTAGACCTGGTACTGAGCAGTATTTCCATCATGGCTGTTATAATTTCCCTGATTGCTCTCTCGTTTTTGAGGTAAGACTTACCACTTTGCCTCTCAGCAATTTCAGAAGATCATTCCCCCCTTGTAAGGGAATCCAAAACAGTCTTGGCTTGACTGGATCCGGTTTCCAGGTACTCAATTCCGGATTCTTTTTCAGCGGAACTGGGATTCCGAATCCAATCGTTACTGAAATAAAGGATTCTATAAGCTGTATTTTGGTTCCAAAGCCCAGGATTTCGGATCTGAATTCCACAAGCAAAAGTTTCCCAAATTCTTGAATCCGGATTCCCTCACTTGGGGCGACTCTTACTGAGTAATTAAGGAAAAAAATACTGGGACAATGTCATTTTATTTCTCATAGACCCAAAGATGTATATACAACAAGTCTTAACAAGAAGCTTTGAACATGCACTTGCCAGTAAAATTTCTATACGAATCCTAAATGAATAGTTGCTAAGTTGAACTGTGATCGAATACCCAAACAAGACTTCGAGAAAGCAACGATGTACTCAATTATGACATCATCATTATAAGTTTAAAACTGATTACACCGATATTAAATGCCCGAAGCTAAAAATGGAGCGACTCAAGTTGCTAAAGGTGGTAAACTTGTATGTAGTATAGATAAATCATGCCATAAATGATGACCTGTTTAAAAAATGCCCGAAGCTAAAAATGGAGCGACTCATGTTGCTAACGGTGGTAAACTTGTATGTAGTATAGATAAATCATGACATAAATGATGACCTGTTTAAAATACACCTCAGCTAGTTACTCTGTTGCACCAACTGAGTGACTGATTGATATTGCATGGTTTAAAAATGGCGGATGATTTGATTGTTTTAACAGAATAAGAAACTCCGAAAGGATATTTGTGCACAAGAATCTTTTACTTTCCCTGTGCTTGGCTTATATCGTGATGATCTTCGACTCTTTTGTCCTCACAAACAGGAAGCAAAACCCGGTAATTTTTTAATTCTTTTTCGTGTTACTACCGTTATTATTATTTGATATAATAGTCATGAAACCGTCCATAGGATGAGAGAAATAGAAAAAAAGTGATGAAAGCGCATGTTTTTGCATCTTGATTTAACAGCTGTGGCTACAGTATACGCTCTTTCAGAGGGCTAGCATTGTTTTTCTGAAAGCAATGTCTTTAAAAATATCATCATGCTTATTGCATGTTACTTTTCTTAAAGATAATTTTTTGTCTGTTTTCATTCTTCATATTTTAAATTTCTATTTGTTTTCTTGACTTACGCCTCTAAAACACGATTTAACAACGTTCAGCATTTCTTGCTCAAAAAAAAAGAGAAAAGAAAAAAAGAAAAAACGGCGAGAGATGTTGCAGCTTTTTGAATGTCTAGGAAACAAACTCAACATTTTTGAGTTTGACTTCGTTATTCAACAAGTTGCAATGGAATAATTAGTCCATCCGCCCATATTATCGTTCAACTTGGTTGAATGGCCACTTTAACATCGCGGCAGGACGACTGAGCTCAGTCGGTAGAGCACTTAACTGCAGAGCGGTACAAGGTCGCAGGTTCGATCCCATGGACCTATACCCATCAGTGAACTTTGAAATGAAGGTACTGCCTTTGCTCTGCTGCAAACGGCAGGACCTTCGCCTGGCTCAGATGACCACGAAAAATGGCAGTCCGGTCTCCAGTGGGAAACGTAAAAATAGTGTCCTCAATTAGTACTTTCCTGCTAAACTGATATAGACTCTCCGAAAAGTGCGTTTTTTAACATTATTACACTGTTCAACATTTTGACCAGGAGCTAGCGCAACAAGTAACAACCAGCCTGCTAACTAGGTTAACGCACAAAACCTACGATTACCATTGGACGATCGCTCCATTTCCAACGACGCAGCGACTAACACTCTATATTTCAGCTGAGTTTTGTACCTTGCGCTGTTAAGTTCAGGGGAGTTTACTGTTTATGAATGCATGTATTTTCTTTCTTACAGAAATTATGTTCATTTATGGCGGTTTTTCAGCATTTTTCGCATACCACCATATTTACGTGGATGCTGGTGGAAGGAATTCATCTTTACGTCAAACTGGTGAAAGTATTCTCGGTCCGGAAGCTTTACATCACATACGTCATCATCGGCTGGGGTAATCATGTCAAAATTTCTTACTGCTAAAAACACACCAGCAACCTAGTTTCCAGGCTTCCTCCTGCTCAATAGCCCACGTTCGGTAGATTAAAATTCTAACATGACGCTCTTACAAACTGTTAATTTTTCTCGATCCTATTGCTAGTTTTCAGCCGTCACGCCATTCAAAATAAATCAAAATAAATATTAAAACTGTTCAATAGTTTAAGGCCAGAATCTGGGAAATGATAGGAGGCAAATATGCCCACCTGGATGGGCACCAACATGGTGGACGGAAACCAACAGAAACATCTGTTACCGAGTTTTGCTAAAAAAGCGTGAATTGTTCCCTCGAGGAACTCATAAATAGTAAAGTAATGCTTTTTCTAATACATTAACAGTTTAAATAGCGAAATTCCCCGAAATAACTCACTTTTTTAACCTACATGACAGCTCTCTCGGCCGTCACGTAAAAGCCGCGTCACGCAAAAGCTTAGAAATTCAAGCATGCTCTAACACAAAACCAAGAACGCTTTTGAAGTGAAAATTTGTATGAACATTACTTTTCAGCTGTTGTAATATAACATGAAAGTAAATTCTCAGTAGGATCGATAGTTTTGTAGTTTGAATTTCAGTGACGTCATAGGAAAACCAACAATCGTTTCTCAGAAGAGATTTGAACACAATGAAAACCAAACCAAATACAGAAATAAGACCAGAGCTGACCAGACCTCGATTCATATTAAAACTCTGATATACCGAAAGAGGGATATTAAGGTGTGCGCGTTGACTGCGGTTATCGAGTGGCCATGGGCAACTTCGTGACATCCGTCCCTAAGAAGATCTTTCACTCGCTAGTTTCACTTCGTGACAAGAGAAGCGTCCTGGGGACGAATTTGATTGAATCGACAGGCCAGTCTATTGCGTGATTTTAATAGCCTCTTAGATAAAAGATTTTCTCTTTTTTCCCAAATACAAAACACGAGTTCACCTACGATTGCCTTCATTAATCCTAGCTAGTTATTGATAAAATAATTTTCGAACCCAAATACATGCAGCACAAATACCTTATACTCTACCACTTCCTTCGCCTGTTCGACTACTGTCGGCTTTATGTAAAGTTTAAATTCTGTGATTTTTATATCATCCAACTTTTGCGAACGTAAGCACCTCCCTCCTTTCATAAACCTCTAACTGCAAAGTGTTAGTATTGCCCCGGTCACCTGGGACCATTCAAGATGCAAAAACAAAAAGCCAGCTTTTAATCTGTAACTGTTTCCAGGTTTTCCTGTGGTTATCGTTGGGCTGATAGCAGCCATTAGGCCCCTGACATATGATATGTCTAAGACTTACTACAAAGAAGTCATGTGCGGAACACTGAAACTTCCCGCGGAAATTATACGTACCAGGTTAGTTGATATGACCCATTTATGTGCAGGTTAGAGCAGAACCCTTTTTCTGCTCTCTTGTTTCACCCGTGCTCTCGCGGGTTAGGTGGTGCAGCCCTCTCTTCACATAATGCTCAAGAGAGTGGATGATTTCGTAAATCGTCTATTAAGCCCCCTCTTCACCTCTCAAGTAAGCCCCTTCTCTCTAATAAGCCCTCCTTTTCATGGGAAAAACATTTAATAAGTCCCCTCCCTCTCCTCCCCCTATCATTATTCACTAATAATAGCTGTATCAATCTATCACGACTGTAAAACTTCACGGGGACTGCAGATCAGGGATGGTTTATTCACCAAATAGAAGTTTGGATTTGTTTTTGATCCTCGGCTGCATGATCTCCAACTTTTTGTACTTGAGCTTTTCCTCTTTTTATCCTAGTTCTTTATGGAGAACTGACACCGTTGTCTGCTAAATTAAATAAGCCCCCCTCTCAAGTAAGCCTCCCGTCTCTATTAACCCCCCCTCAAATGTGTTTGAACTAAATAAGCCCCCGGGGGGTAATAGAGGATTAACGGTATGTATATGACGGTGCAGCTGAATTGGTGACTCTTGTCCCAGTACTTCTGTTCTTTATACTATAATAAATCTTCAGTGTGTTTATGAAAGCACACGTCATATATAAGGGATACAAAAAAGTGGAAATTTTTTTTGATTTTCATAAGGTGTTGGCTCCACGATGGCGAGTGGCTGTACAAAGCACCAATCCTGACAATCCTATCGGTAAGCCGCGTCTTTTACTTTCAGCAATACATCTTGCAGTGTACCAGTATTCGTTTAGTTTAACGGATAACTTATGGTAGCACGCAAGATTGTATCGACTTGTAGGTACACTGTGCAAACTCTGACGCTGCCTGCAATTCAGGCGTCCGTTTTCCTATGGGCGGGGAACGTGAAGGGAGGGGAGGGGAGGGGACTAGTGAGCACCAGAATTAGCTGAAGCATGCGTGAGTTACAGGAAGAAGGTACGGAATACCGTGGGGGCGGGAGACAGGTGATAAAACTCCATATTTTTCTCTCCCGTTTACCCGCGAGCAGTGGTTTTTGCAGACCACTGCTCTCAGGGTATCCCCCGTCCCTCACTTCAACTTTCGCTGTCCACGCACCGTGCCCTTAATCTCTCAAGTTAGCTTTTACAGCGGTCATTAAATACTAATTCATAATTTTGTCTTTTTCAATCCATGTACTACTCCAAAAAAGGCAGATCACTCAAGTATACTTTAGCTAGTGTATGGTGTCTTCTATAGTAGACCGGAGTTACTTAATAGAATAACTCAGCTATGACCGAAGGCTTCCAATTGGGATACCATAAACAGAAAAAAAAAGAAAGCATGAATACTCCCTAACAATATTGTATCATTGCAGATCAATGTCATTATCTTCGTGGTTCTGTTAAGAGTGATATTTACTAAGATATCAATCAAGTATCATAGTAACCATGTCCAGAAAGCCAAGTAAGTAAAATATAACAGCATCTCAGGCAAGCTATCTTCTTGGAACAAAGAATGTAACTCTTTTAGTTTCATTTTAGCCGGGAGATTTCCCTTCGGTTCTCTAGTCGCCTTGAAGATCAGTTTCCTATTCAATTTTAAATCTTTTCGATCTACTCAGTGATAGGCAGATTTTTTTATGAGAGATCCGCCCACTAAACTCACCGGTTCATAGCGTGCTTTGCTGATCCGTTTTTAAGGTTTGTTTCATAATACAGCTTTTGATTTTGAAACCTGACATGCCAAGAACCGGCTTAGAAGGTTGGCCCGACTTTCCTCGATGATTGCCATTCTTAACAGTACATAACCTGTTCGGAATTCAAAATCATTTAAAGAGAGTTTCCCTTTGCCGGAATAGCTATTTCAAATAAAATTTTGACCTTTATTTGTCCTTAACACTGGTAAAGAAATGTCGTTGGTTTGTACTTTCAAAGGGTCACTTAAAAGAGAATTGGTGTGACGTCTCCCTTAAATCATGCATGGCTATCTTTAGTAAAAACCCACATATAAGAACCCAGTGATTTAAGAACCTGCAGGCTGAAATTTGGCAGTTAAATACCCAAAAATATAAGACCCTGTTCAGCCTGGGAAAGAAAAATAGGTGCTTATACAAAAGAATCAGTCTAATTTTGATGGTCAAAATTTTCTATTTTAATTGTATGAGAAACTTTTCAGTGACAACACGTTATTGTATTGAAATGTTTTGATGTTCTTTTTGGACCTTGATTGTTTGCCATTATGTATTAGTAATACAATATTTCTGCCAATGTTTACACTATGACAACCTCTGAAAAATAAGAGCCTTTAAAGAACATGGTCACGCTGAATTGTGAAAAACTACCCTAAAATAGAAGAACCTGTTCAGCCTGACCTCGAAAAGTCTAGGTTCTTATATGTGGATTTTTACTGTATGAGGAACGGGGAATTTTTAAAACGGGGAATCTTTGAAATGGGAAATCTTCAAAAGCAGGAATCTATAAAATGAGGAATTTTTTTGCGAAGGGGAATTCGTTCTTCGTTCCTCATTCCCCGTCTCGCTGATTCCGCGTTCCTCGTTTTAAAGAGAGCCCATAATTCATCGCGTTTTTTCTTCACAGAAGAGGAATGAAGAGTGTTGCTGCCCTCCTTCCCTTACTGGGAGTCACGTGGCTGCTAGGGTTTGTCGCTGAATTAAGCGAGATCATCCTGTATCTGTTTATCATCTTAAACTCTTTACAGGTAAAAGGCTGGTAATAAACAAAAATGAGTGTTTAAAGGCAGATACAAACACAACATGACGTAGCGTAAAATGACAAATAAAAGGCAAATAACTAAACTAGCCGTATCGTCATTACCCTAATCCAGCAGGGCCGCAAGCTTCCTAGTCCAGCCGCTGCGATCTTGCGCACACGCACTCAAAACTGTCTCGAATAATCTCCTTCAATCAAACAATCGCCTTATTTTGGTGCAAAAAGTAAGATAATCGCCCCCCGGCTTTATTCGAGGAAACACGGTACCAGCTGAAATATCAACATCTTCAATCCCACCTCGAATCGCACGATCACTTTTAAACGACTTCTTTAAAGCTCCTTAGTGTTTCGTGGGTAATAAAATTACATTTACAATACGCGGCGCGTGATATGTAACAGCAGGTACAGGCCAGGGCGCTTTAAGGGAAGGATTCTTATTTATAAAATCTTGGTACAAACAAATACAATAAAAGCGTCAGAACTGTGAGAGTGCGAGGGTATGCCCTAAACAAAATTTGGTAAACTTTTCTCGCATATCTTACTGTCGTGTTGTGTACTATCTGTGACTAAATAACAACCATCAGTTTCTCTCTCATTTTCTCTTCAGGGCCTTTTATTTTGCATCTTTCATGGTTTGCTGGATGACCAGGTATTTCAGAAACATTCAAGCTGCCGAAATCTTAAATTGTCAAATTTTCAGTTTTAACTATGGACCTTTTTTGGTTTGCGGAAACTTATTTAGAACATGACGGAGTTTGGGTTATTACAGAAACATTCAAGCTGCCCAAATCTTAAATTGTCAAATTTCCAGTTTTAACTATGGACCTTTTTTTGATCTGAGGAAACTTATTTAGAACATGACGGAGTTTGGGTTATTTGAATAATTTAGAAACGCCAGAATTCGTTTTGTATTCAGATTCCTCAGTTCTAAGTTTAACCTCTTGTCATTCTCGAGCACGCTTTACAATGGGATGCACAGACAGTGAAGCAAATTAAAGGCAAAAGGACAAGAAATGGCGTAAAATGCGATAGCTTTGGAACTTGGTCAGATATATATCCTTTAGATAACGTTCTCAATCTTTTTTTAGATAAAGGATAGTCTGGTCAAATCCTTAAGGAGGACAAGAATGAAGATTTTGTTTCTAAGGGACAGAACCTCGACGACTGCATCGACAGCCAGCAACCTCACAATAATAACTACAGGTAACTAGTGTTTTGATATCATTATGTTACAGCCGTATCATCAGGGGCTTTTGGTATCTTCTCTTTTGCCGGGACAGCTAGCGTTCCTTGGGGTGGTAGAGGAAGAAAGCCTTTTTAAAAGGCTATATCGCTCCCCAGAGCTGAGAATAACCAGGCAATTCGATCATAATTGTGTTTGTACGAGGGGAGCAAAGCGCTCGAATTTCGGTTTTTGCAAAAGGTGTTTAAACTGAGACACCTGCATGCGTCACTGCATGGAATGCCTTGATTTCAGTTCAGACCCCTTTGCTTTCTTTTTTTTTGGTAATTTTTACGCCTGTGGTGATTCTTTTACGCCTCACAGAAAAAGATTAAGAGAAAATCATGCTCTCTGCAAAAGGGCTTGCGGTTTTTCGTCTTTATCGACTTATCTGAGAGGACTAGTAAGAATGTCTGACCATATGCAAAAGTGAAGCAAAAGCAGCAACTTCCCAGCTACTTTCTATTCAGGGCCCTGCAGAGCATTGATTCTGCACGGGGTCTGAAACAAACCGGAGTCTACCGTTTTGAAGTCTGGTACCTTTTAAGGTAAAACAATTGAGCTAATGAGTTGATCATATGTGCCGGATTTTCTCCGAACAACGTTTTACTTATTGCTTCGACACCAATCCAAAGGTAACAGAAAGTTCCTTGCGCAGATTAAAAATTGCTTCTTTTTTACTGAACTCCAACCTACAAAGACTGGAGGGCTTTTACAAGTTCTTCCAACGGCTTCTTTTATCTGATTTATACCCAGGACCCATGATTGACGAGAAACAGATTACTGGACAGCACTTACCTATGCAAGACGTAACTGCAGCCGGGCATGATGACAGCAAGTTGTAAAATACATAGTAATAGCTTTAGGATATAGTGTTCGCAAATCGCTTAATCAACGCATAGAGCCTGTCATTTTTCGAAGTGTTAATATCTCTCGTTAGGTAATGCACTGACATTAAAGATTTTTTTAGCTTTTTTAGCTTCTTTTTCTTTCTAAATTTGGCTACAAGATTTCTCAATCACTCGGTTTGACGGTTCAAGAAAACTTAACTGTACCTCTCTAATGTTTGCGCTAACAAAAAATTCGGAAAAAAACCATTATTCTTAACTCATACTCAGTAAGGATGCCGTAAAGACACAATTTACTTTAAGGACACTTAATGTAGCAAAAGTTTTTTTTGTGTGTGTGTCTGCACTTGTCTATAAGTTTATGATTATAGATCATTTTTTTCAAATTTTATGTTCCCATAGAAACGCCATAAATGAAATATTAGAAAGGCACAGTTTTATCTTACTGAGCACTCAAACTGTGAGTTTGGGTATCCTGTGCCGATAGACTCATTTTCTCAAAATATAAGATAGAATGATTAACAAATTGTTTAAAAGAAGAGAATCTAAATGACAGCTGTGGGCAGCAGGAACTGAAATCAATATCAAATCATGAAAACTGTATGGTATCTGAATCGTGTTACAGTGCACACATACTTTGTCATTTGTAGTGTTTAGTTTAGTTTTGTTTTTTGCTAGTTTTGTTAGAAAAAGGTAACATAAAGCTTATTTAAAAACCGTATGTTGCTTTATTTGTATTTTATTTTCAATCAACTTGCATAAAATTAAAGTTCTTGATAAAATGTGACCTTTTAGTTATATTCTCAACGTTTTCTTAAACTTTCGCCTCCACGGCTAGCCTGGTAACGTATACGTCTTTCCAATCCTCTCCACAGGCTAATGCACGGCTGGAGGAACTACAAAGCCGTTTTCAGTACACACTTTTAAAGATCACTCCCTCCACCGTTAAAAAAGGCTGATCCTAGACTGTTTAAAGTCCCTTTTTTTACCCTGAAATCGTCGAGATAAAGCCGCCTTTCTTAAAAAGGTAGCTACTGATCTTGGCTTACATTGACCTACTCTTTCCTTTATTTCCGCGGTGCGTTTAAAAATCAAGAAAGCCACCAGTTATAGTAAGCACCCATATTGTCTCTTCGCCAAAAGGGAAACAGCCTGATCTGTTGCTTACCCTCTCACCCCTCCGTTTCAATTAACTTAACGCCACGCATCTCTGTCTCCCCATCATCGGGAAAAAGAACTCTGATAATTGCGCCTTGCACAGAACAAAAAAAACGCGGACGAAAGTTAACATTTTGTTTGAATTTGAACCGAAATTAAAACATTAACATTCAAATCTGTGAAACAGCCTTTAGTCATGACGTTCTTAACAAAGGGTGGTCTGCCTGTGGTATGGCGCGACAAAGCCGTGTTGTAATCAGCTTGTGTAGGGAACTGGGGCGAGTTTCAAATTCAAATTAATCGATAAACTGACACCACCATATAAAAGGTTATGTTGAGATTGGTTTTTTGAACAATTTTGGTGCTTTAAAGTTGCACAGGGTTCAAGTTATGACTCTTGAAACATGGTTAAAGATCCATACAAACCTCTGTAATTTTGTGACAGCGTCCCCCAAAACCATATAAACTCTTAATTTTTTTCACGATTTCTGTGATATTCATAAAAATGGGCAAACACAGTGATTTTCGAATTAGTTCCTCCCAAGTAGTAGATGCATGACGAATTTTACAGTTTCAAAGAAAACGTTTATATGGTTTTGAGGGACGTTTGTATGGATTTTTAACCATGTTTCAAGAGTCATAACTTGATCCCTGTACAACTTTAGAGCACCATATACCAAACAATGATCAATCTCAACATGACCTTTTAGAGCGGTTTTCACTTGACTGTCGAAAGGGATTGGTTTTGGTTTTGGTTTTGGTTTTACTACGCCCTTTGGTTGGCTAGTGTATTTACTTTGGTTTTGGTTTTACGACAGTCAAGTGAAAACCGCTCTATATGCATATGATGGTGTCAGTCAGTTTATTGAATTTGAAACTCGCCCCAGTTCCCTACGCAACTCCGAAATGGCCAATAGCGCGAGCGTGCTTCGTACTAAACGCATTGAGCACGCTATTTATACGTCGAAGCAATCGTCCCAAGGCGTCTCCCAAGTGCATCCATTACTCAACAGTACAAGATGAAGCGTTAACCATGTGTTTTATAACGTAGATTCAAGAAAAAAAACGTTTGAATTTGTTAACCTATAGTAAGGAAAAGAGGTGAGTGTTGTTGTTGTCATCTGCGCGAGCTGTGCGAGCTATGGCGTGTTTGCAAAGTTTTTTCTTTCAAAAAGAATTTTTCGGTGAATTACTGAACAGTTTTCCGGCACCTCAATTTGGATTTTGCCATCTTTTTGAGAGTGATCTTAAGCGACTTGAGTAAACTTTCTCTCAGTTTCAAGGCAAAAACATAACTGTGAGGTAAACAGACGCGTACTGGTACAATAACAAATAAGTTCACTTCCGCATTTGATCGCTTCGGACAATGTTATAAAACGATTAGTTCATGCCTCATCTGCGCGTATGTCGAGATATTGAGCACTTGGGAAGTTTGGAGAGCACGAAAGAGGCTAGAGTTGCTCGAGGCGCAACTCCTTCCAAGTACTCACCAATATCTCGACATACGCACAGCTGAAGCATGAACTAATTGTTTTGTAACATTGTCATTATTTTTGTACCTCACAGTTATGTTTTTGCCTTGAAACTGAGAGAAAGTTTACTCAAGTCGCTTAAGAGTCTCAAAAATATGGTAAAATCTGAATTGAGGGGCCGGAAAACTGTTCAGTAATTAATTTACCGAAAAATTCTTTTGGAAAGAAAAAACTTTGCAAACCACCACCCTTTGTTAGTTGTGTTCCTTCGTGTTCCTTGCGTTCGGAATCATCGTTGTGTGACGGGGGGTGGAAAAATAATAAATAGGTAAACTCGTGACTCGGTTGCACAATCTCGAAGGAATGTGAGCTGACTCATCTATCTGATTGTGGGTTAAAAATTCATTGTTTAATCAAAATAGCTGTATTTCCATCCAAACTTTATAGTACACTTGCGGAGCACAGTTGCGGAGGTATGTTTTTGTTTAAACGTTTGTTATTTTTTCCTGCACACGTACTTGACTCAGCTGACTCACGCCACCGAAAACTTGGCAGCTCAGCCGATCGCTTATGAGTTCTTATGCAAGTGTGGAAGCATATTGAAATCTTAGGTTTGTATATAAGCAACTGATTGAAGTCCTATCCGGCTATTGTTGGATGAAAGACAGAACTAATTCAACTTTCTCATTCGCCATCTCGCTATATATTGTCCAATGCATGACTTACACAAAAGCCGTTTGGTTGTTGTTTCACTCGGAATATAATGTTTCCCGCTACTTTGGCCACAGATTTGTCAAGTGAAGCTTCTCACATTGCCTTGCTAACGTGTAATTTAACTGCTGTACTGTGGATAAAGTCAGTATGCTGAAACAGGAAAGTTGCATAGTGGCGAAACCTTCATGCAGCTACCGGCGGGGGGTGAGGGGAAGGTGGGGCGGGGGGGGGGGGGGGGGGGGG